CATGAGACGTCCAATTCGCATCACAGAAAGGCTCCAAGAAGGTCAGGTAGTTCCCCAGTACCTGCGAGACATCAAATACACCTCCCACAGGCTTCGGAAGACCGATGGGAAAACCATTACGAGATTCCTGACACATGGAAACCCAACCAGGACTTTTTGGACACCAACTTAGTCTATGGCCTAGCACTCCCTCGTCAGGTCATCTCAACGTCTGTCAGTAGAAACCTTGGCATCGACAATGTACCTATTCATGAGGTGAAGCTTATCCCTATCATCCACAACATGTCTCAGAATTGGTGCCTACGTCTGTTGGCAAATGGCAAAGCCACATTCCTTGAGTTGTTTCGTTCCCGTCAAGAATGCTACTTTACATCAGCCCTTATGAAAATTCTTCGTGAGCAGCAAGTTGATTTCAATCAACTACTGTCAGGTGCTGCGGCCAAACAGGGTTTGTCCACAGATTTAACACAGTGGAGTGCCAGAAAAGCAGCCCTAGAAGCATTGGCCGATTTCACCATGGAACAGTTCCGCACCATTCTCCCACAGGACCCTTCCAATCAGTTGATGGAACGATTACGTAGAATGGAAGAGGAGAATGCCAGACTTCGTATGCAAGTAGGTCAAGGTGCTGCTGACAATTCGCATCAATCCCAAGCAGAGCCCGCAGTACCAGGGATAGCACCAAGCAGGAACATGCCATCCCATTCACCTCCCCACACCCTCCAGGCTCTTCCCACGCCTGCTGGCCCCAGCACCTCACCCCCAGGTACTGCAGACAGCACACGACAACCAGGGCAACAGACATTGCCATTCAGCGGACAAGGAAACGCAACAACTCAGGCACTGAGCAAGCTGACAGAACTGGCAGTACGAGACCGCCCAAACCATTTAGAATCCACAGGTCCCAAAAACCATACTGTGCAGTGTATCAATTCTTGGATGAAGTCGCAGGTTCCAGATACGAAGCAGCATGCTGAGATTGATCGACGTGCCAGGGAGTTTAAGGAAATGTACGAGAAACTCGATGCTGGCCAAGCACCGTCTCTACAGCGGATGTTGGTGAGTTGGGGCATGGAGCCCAGTGATGCAACCAAATTCAAGCCAGGGGAGGCTCTCAAGCTCCTCACGATTTTGAACCATTTGCACCGCTGACTTTGTCCGCATTTTGCGGATGCATGCATGACCAGTTTTGACTTACAATTCATGGGATCAACGAAGTTTGTCCTAGATGCAATAATTCACAATTTTTTCCGGTGGATACAACCAGTCCGGAAGACCTTTTTTGAACAATTCAACTATTTCTCCATGCGGAGATACCTCTGGTTGGAAACGATGCTTTTCACCAGGTTCGTTCTGTTGAAGAACATGTGCAGCACCACGACGAAAACATGGATCAAATTAGCACGGTTTCTCAAATCACAAGAGATCACAGGAAATTCTACGTTTGAGCAATTCCACTCGCCAGGATGGGTGTATTTAGAAACTTCTTGCGTCCAAGAGCACGCTACCTGGTGGTACGTGGGCAGTACAACAAATACACCTATGGATAGGGAATATAGTCGCTATCGAAAGTATGAGCAACTGCGTAAAGGAGTTGACGCCTTCTTTGAACCAGCACTGAAGATTTGGCAGAGCACCCAAACATTTTTTCATTTCATCATAATTCCATTGCAGCAAATTGACGATGAAATTGCATTGCGAGCAGCAGAAACGACATTAATCGGTCAGCTCAGGCCTATGTTGAACCACCTATTTGTCAATCCATTATTGAAGAAACACAGCGCTGCTGCCCCTTTGAATTTTTCTATGCCTTGTGAAACAGCCGGCAAGCGTGTACACGATCGTTTCTCTTTCCTTGCTAACTGTGCCCTGGACGAATCTGCCATGAGTCGCATGTGGAAGCAGCCTACACACTTGTTCGAGCTGTTGTACTGGCTAGGATGCACAACTCGACGAAAGTTCCATGCAGCACAAGTTCTACGGAGTTCGCAGGTAAACCTTGAGTTTCTGTACATGCTTTACAAACTTGTACACCAGATAGATGAACCCTGGCGCACGCGTGCGCAACGATCGCTAAAAGACTGCCTTGAGTTCAAAGGTGGGCATGCCCCCCCCGCGAATGTGCCAATGTTGCTGTTGCCCCTGCAGTGCGATGTGAAAGACCTAGTTCGAACGTGGCTTCGAGAGCTGCTGCAACATCATTCCTGTTTGTTTCCCTGGTTTCATGTACCAACCACACATGTTGTTCTGCGACGAAACAGGCCTTTTTCAGATTTCGTTTTCAATTTCCATTCTTTCTTGCAGAGCTGGTCCCCAGACGAATGCGTGTTTGAATGTATGGCTTGCGGTACATTTGATTATGGAGATCATGTACGTTCAACTGGACATGTGTTCAGCACAGCAAGTGGGTTGTTTCCAACGTTACTGGTTGGACATCTGAACTTAGCTGACACCGTGTTTCCATCACAAAGACGCTGGATCACAGATGCACAACAACAATTTGCTAAATGGTGCGAAAGATGGCGGCTAGGAAGACGGTTCACAACCATATGGAACTACATGTGTCACTATATTTGGCAACAACATGTCCAAGCAGTTTCCCGTGACGGTGTTTGTACATTCCAAGCCCTGTTTCGTGAATTGCGTAGTATAAGAAGGTTCGTCATTTGCCCAGCTGATCACCATCCTCATCGAGCTCATTTGTGTTGCCCACATCATTATCACCACCTCCTCATGAAAACGTTCATGACACCTGACGTGTTTGTCAGATGTTCTGTCGGTTGGAACACAGTTTTCCCACGAGTTATGGTCGATTTGGGAGATAGCCTTCCACCTCACTTGCGAAAATTGGCCTCACCTGGTGGAAAGTGCCCATGTGCGTATATTCTTCCCAAACCTAGCAAACATTTTGAAGCGGCGCGTCCGATCATTGCATATACAAACAGTTGGAACAACCGATTAGGCGAAGTCATTGGAGGGGTAGTATTACAGCTGATTCGGTCATTATTTCGTGAGACATCGCTGGACAAAGACGTTGTTCAAATCATGCGGGCAATTCATTATGTGTTTGATGATTTACCGAGCCATCTGCCTATACACATGGACCAACAAGACTTATCAGGTTTTTTCAATTCGGTACCACATTCTCGAATGGTCGACAGTGTATGGTATGCGTTGCATGTGTATTGTCACAAGTACAATGTGTCTCTGGACAGCACTATTACTTTCCAACTTCAAGATCGTGAATCTGCCCAACGAATTTTTCGTGGTCGGTATCGACGAGCTGGCAATCGTACGACGCAAGTCAGTTTGATTCATCTACCTGCAATGGTTTCCTTTCTTCTACGTAATTCATATTTCATGGTTGGTCGGCATCTGTTTAAGCAAGTTCAAGGTGCTAGTATGGGTTCACACTTTGCCCCGGCGTTATGCGGACTCGTAGCAGCAT